TAATGAGCGAAACGGACTCAATTAATTGTTATGGTACAACCACTATTCAACAACATTATATGGTCGTACTAAATTCCCTCGTCGTACTAACTCCGCCTGTGGTGACTAATGGGTGGATTGAATAGCTCAGGAGTCACCATTGCCGGTCCTAAGCCCGGGTAAAGGAGGAAGGTTGGGCAGTGGGCTAACAACTCACTCCCGGAAAAACACACTGTTATGAAACCTAAACATTTGCCTCGGAACAAGGGAACTTTCGGAAACGACTAAAGCTACGAAACATGGACTATGCATTTGGAAGTTGGAATGTGAGGACGCTAAATAGACCAGGAGCTCAAACTGCACTTCTACAAGAACTAAAAAGATATAATCTTATGATCACTGCTCTTCAGGAGACAAGATGGCTGGGGAAAGGTGTCAGGGACACCAAAACGCACACAATTCTATATAGTGGCAAAGAACAAGGAATCAAAGAATGTGGTTAGATAATGATTTTACGTCAAAAATCATAGACTTCCAGGCAGTGAATGAAAGGATATGCAAACTAAGAATTCGCACCCACTTCTTCAACCTTACTATGATAAACATCTACTGCCCAACAGATGAACAAGAGCAACATACAAAGGAAAGCTTCTACCAACAGCTGGAGATAGTATATGACAACGCGCCAAAAAATGACATTAAGGTTATAATGGGTGATATGAATGCCAAAATAGGCAAGGAACCGCAGTTCTATGGCACAACAGGAAAACACTCACTGCACAATGAAACAAGCGAGAATGGGGAGTTTTTGATAAATTTTGCCACCAGTAAAAACATGGTTATAAGCTCCACATGCTTCCCACATAAAGACATACACAAAATGACGTGGATCTCACCAGATGGAACCACAACCAATCAAATTGACCATGTGATGATAGACAAAAGGGCAGCCAGTAGTATCTCTGATGTGAGAACACGACGAGGAGCATGCTGTGGATCAGACCATCTTTTACTGCAAACCAAATTTAGGTGCAGAGTTAACAGAGAAAGAAACGAAAGACAACAAAGAACAAACAAACTAGACCTGGAAAAACTGAAGACTCAGGAATGTAGAGAGAAGTTCGAGCAAGAAGTCACAAATGAGCTAAGGACACAAGAACTGCACTCCATAGAGAGCAAATGGAATAATATCAAAACAGCAGTGCTGACAGCAGCAGCGTCCACCGTGGGAAACAAGAAAAAGAAGAGAAGAGGAACATGGTTTGATGACGAGTGCAGGCAAGCGATAGAAGAAAGAAACGAAGCGCACAAAATGTACATAACAAGAAGAACACGGGAAAGACGAACATCATTTGAAGTCGCAAGACGGAAAGCAGACAAGATATGCAGAAACAAAAAGAGAGCTTATGAAAATGGACAAATAGAAGAAATGGAACAAAATTTCAAAAAAAAAACGAAATTAGAGGAGCTTACGAATACCTAAAAAAGATAAAAAGTGGATATAAACCTCAAACAAGCCTATGCAAAGATGAAAGTGGGCAAATAATCAGTGACCAACAGAAAGTCACAGAAACCTGGAAGCATTATTTTCAGACCCTACTTGGAACACAAGTAGATATGGAAGATGAAATGGGTACGAACCATGTAGAAGAGAACGAAGTTGAAGTAGAAGCTCCAACCATAGAGGAAGTTCTCGAAGCTATTAAGGCCCAGAAAAACAATAAAGCCCCGGGAGTTGACGAGATTCCAGCAGAACTGTATAAGGTAGGTGGCAACCACCTATCAAGTCATATCCACGCGCTTATCAAAGAAATATGGCAAGAAGAGAAAATACCCGACGAATGGAAGAAAAGTATAGTATGCCCAATCTATAAAAAAGGAGACAAACTCCAATGCAAAAACTACCGTGGAATTTCTCTACTATGTACAGCGTATAAAGTCCTCACGTATATTATAAACCAGCGACTCCAACCACTAGCAGAAAATATTATTGGAGAATATCAGACGGGCTTCAGACGGGGAAGATCGACAATGGATCAAATATTTACAGTCAAGCAGGTCTTGAGCAAATCGTGGGAACACGACATTGATGTTCACAACGTGTTTGTAGACTTCAAACAGGCATACGATTCAGTCAAAAGGGACAGACTATACTATATATTGGCAGAATTAGCAATACCACATAAGCTAATTAGACTCATTAAAGCCACAATGGATGAAACTCAGGCATGTGTACGAATACAAAACAACCGGACAGACTTTTTCAAAATCTCGCAGGGACTAAAGCAGGGAGATGGGCTGGCACCAACATTGTTTAACCTGGCACTGGAGTATGCGGTTAGGCAAATGCAAACTGGACGAGAAAACCTACTGACCAATAAAACGGTTCAACTGGCTGCCTACGCCGATGATATTAATATTATGAGTAGAACATCAACAGGAGCACAGGAAGCATACGCAGAGTTAAAAACACAAACGAAAAGGCTAGGTCTGGAAATTAACACAGAAAAAACAAAAATAATGGTACAGACGAGAAGAAATATAATCCCACAAAACATTATACATGAAGATGACATTGAAACGGTTGGAAAGTTTACATACCTGGGAGTAGAAATATATGCCGATGGAGCAGAGGATGGAGAAATACGAAAAAGGATAACGCAGGCAAACAAAGCTTATTTTGCCCTCTCCCATATATTTCGGTCTAAAAGTGTCCACCGAAATACAAAGATGAGAATCTATAAAACTTTAATTCGGCCAATAGCATGTTATGGCAGCGAAGCATGGGTCCTGAAAGAAACATCCAAAAACAAACTCGACACATTCGAAAGAAAAGTACTGAGGAGAATACTAGGACCTGTGAGGGAAAACGGAATCTTCAGAATTCGATATAACAACGAGCTCTATCAACTGTATAAGGAAACACCCCTGTCAGACTTCATTAGAATACAAAGATTGCAATGGGCCGGACATGTGATACGAATGGGAGAGGATAGGCTACCAAAACGAGCACTGAACGCCAGAATGCAGGGAAAGAGACCAGTTGGAAAGCCAAGAAAGCGCTGGGAAGACACAGTAAGCAGCGACGCACAAGCACTTTTAGGAGTCCGTGTATGGAGAAGAGCAGCCACAGACAGACAAGGGTGGAGGCAAAAAATAAAGGAGGCCAAGGCTCATTTTGGGCTGTAGTGCCGTAGAAGAAGAAGACTAAATTCCCTCAAAATGGACCAAATTACTATTTATCACTATTTCCAAGAAACTTGACCCACATGAGGTAGATTAAGGGTGCGGATGGAAGAGTGTTAAGAACCAATGACATAAAGCATAGTAGGATCTGATGGAATACCTGTAGAGGTTTGGAAGGCTCTAGGAGAGAAAGGGGTTAATATTTTGTGGCAAATGATGAGTCGGATATATGAGGAGAAAAGAATGCCCAATGTATCTAGAAAAAGTGTAATGGTATCATTGTATAAAGAGTAAGGAGACGTTCTGGACTGTACGAACTATAGAGGGATAAAGTTAATGTCGCACTTCTTGTTTAAGTTCCATCTTCTATCGAAGGTTCGAAATCATCATGGCTATGTGGAACCTGTTGACTGCTACTCTAAAGAGTTCTGTACTACCCCCTCAAGTTTTTAAGCCATTCGTCTTTCCAGATTTCGCTTTCCTTGAATTTTACCTTGCATAATAAGCTACAGTTATGTATCTTTGCCCTCTCATCACATTACCTAAGTACTCAAGTTTTCTTTTTTTGATAGTCAATATTATTTCAGATTTATTTCCTAGTCTTCTAGTAACTTCTGCGTTTGATTATCTTTCAGTCCATGATATTCCTAGGATTCTTGTCTCTGTAACACCAAAATTTAAAGGCACCCAACTTATTTAGATGCTCTTGTTTTAATGTCCATGCTTTCAAGGCATAAAGGAATGTAGTAAATACGTTACACCGAAGCATTCTTAGGCGTAGTTCTAACCTTATATCCCGGCAACAAAAAAACTTTTTAAGTTTAACGAATGACGCACATGCTATTTCAATATGTATCTTAATTTCTTTGGTTTGGTTTAAATTTGATGTTATTCATGTTCTTAAGTATTTGTAGGTATCCACACTCTCAATTACAGTATCCGTAACAATCAATTGGATATTCGTCCTTAGTCCGTTTTCATGACAGCATTCATTTAGTCGTTACATTACGTTCTGTAAATCATTGTTGTTACCCGTCATTATTACTTAATCATCTGCAAATCTCAAGTTATTCAAAACTTCTCTATTGATAGATATACCTTCTATTAAATCTGAGAGGGCTTTTTTACATAACCCTTCACTGTAGACATTAAAGGGTAGTGGTGATAGCACGCAAATGTCTGAAGAAAAATTAGTGAGTTAGAGAACGGTAATTAAAGAGGGAGGCCTCTAAACCTATCTCTAAACCAAAACCAAAGCATGTTATATACATACACAACTGTATAACTTTAGTATCGACAAACAGCTACCAAAATTATAATTCTCTTTCGTTTCCCTTTCTGTATAATTCTTTTTCCAGCAGTTATGTAGATTAATGCGTTCGAGGACGTGAGGAAAATCTTTGTTGAGCTTTACTTCCTACTAATTTTTGCAATATACTGGATTCTATTTTAACACAATAAGCAATAAATAATTCATTTCTATTTTTCTCTATTTCTTCTTTATATGACCTAGGGCATTATTTTTACTGTTGCTAAGCATAAGAGAGTTATATTAAAATGTTTACTGATTACGCACAAATAGAGTAAAAATATCTTTTAATTTAATAATTAATATCAGGTCGTTTACATAAGAATTGTTTACTAATTTACTACAGATATACTCGTAGGTATCATTATTGAATTTTTATAAACAATAATCTTTAGTTTTCGACCAAGTTGACCTATGCCTCGAAATATTAGATGGGAATGTGTTGTTAAGGGTGATAAAAGTGGCAAAATAAGTTATTATCTATAACAAAATTTGTATAAAATGAGGTGCACTTCAATCAAAAGGCACATTCACTAATACAGCAACGAAGATGAAGGTATTAGTTCTTCTTTCCTTAGTAGCATTCAGCGCTGCTCTACCAACACTTCTTGGTAGAACCGTTCTGGTCAAAGAAGATGGAACTGTAACTCTCTTCGACTCTAGAGGTGTCGAAATCGATATACTCAAGAGTGTTGTCGATCCCAGAAATGTCGAAGTCGTTCTCAGAGGTCCAAACACAAGAACCAAGGTAATCCAAATCGGAGAATCACTTAGAACCAGAGACATGAGCGACCGTTACCTCGTTGGCGTTTCAGTTAACCAAAACTACAACCAAGCTGATGTTCTTACTGATATTTTCCGTCAGTATGAAGGTAAACTTGACGACATAAAATACCACAGCCTTCTTAACAGAATTCAAATGTTAGTTGAAGCTGGACTTATCAACGAAACCATCTACGATATTATCAGAGACTGGGATCTTGAAAACCGTGTACAAGGAATTAGGTAAGAAATTTTTTTTTTCATTTTAAAAATTTTAACATTTCTATTTTGCTAAAGTTATTTACTATATAGGTATTGAAAGATATATATTGTCATTTTCGATTATTAGACACTTTGCCTTTGTATATATTGAGTGTCGACAATTCTTTTTATGTGTGAACAATTTTTTAATTTTACATCGTAGCATCCTCTTCAAAATGTTAACTTAAAGATTTCTTTCTTTTTTATATGTCTCACATTTGACAAATTTCTCTTTAGCTGCCCAATTGCAGTGATATGTACTATTTACTTGCTTAATATTTCTTTTAGCAAACTTTCTTCACTTCTGTCCCTTAAAAGCAACTTCCCGCCTTCTTTTTACTCTTTAAGAATTTACAACATCTTGTCTTTATTGCTTTTCACTCTTCTTCCATTTATGTTCACAGTTTTTTACCGCCATGAATATTTCGTGAACTTATACTAAAGAGTCGATACTCATATTACAAAATAATAACTTAACGGTACCCACCCCTATTAGGTAACTAAAAAGAATATGTTTTCGCTAAATGCTAAATCAAATCTATCCACTTCTACTGTTACGTGAAATCTGTTAGTTCCATCATTTGTTCCACCTGTTGTTACTAATAGTTTCATAGCCATCCAATATTATGTTTTCCATGTTTTTTCATTTTGCAATAAAAAAATTTAATAAATTATATAATTATATATAATTGTAATTAATTATAATAAATGTATTTTCAGTGACATTGTCCCCATCCAAGGAGTAAATACTCTTCGTCAATACGTTGGACAAGTTGAAGATGTTATGCCTGTTGGTGAACGTTTACAATACGGAATCCAAAGAAACTGGTAAGAAACATTTTCAAGATATATAGCTTATTAACTATAGGTTTATTAGCGTCTGTCGACGCTGTCCGTTTTTAAGACTCCTTCATGCTTGTGTATCCTAGCACATAGCTTTCTAATATTCGTTTCCCAAATGGTGTTCGGTCTTTCTCGTTACCTTCTTTTTGCGGGTTCCTTATTCAATGCTCCCTTCGGTAGTGCTTCCTCTTTCTTTCGTCTTGTAGATGTAAATTCTTCTTGCTTTACTGATATCTTTAGTCATTATATACTATTCAATCTGTTTACTGCTCTCCTCATCATCATCAGTATAGCTTTACAACCCTGTGTGGGTTATAGCCCCCTCAAGACTTCCTCTTCAGTCGTACCTATCCATTGCCTTCCTTCGCAAAATACGATGTTATCAAGGAACCTTGTTCTTTGTTTTGCTCATTTTTTTTTAGCTGGATCATTGTGTTCTATCCAAATTTCATGTCCTACCCACCTCATTACTGCTCTTCCTATTTATAATCTTCGCAACAGTCGATTTTGTCATTCACGTCTTCACCTAAAATTAGGCATGTCTTTATTTTTCAAATCTTATGCAATGTTTTACTTACATTAACAGTTAGTTCTGCTTTCTGATACTCCTCTCTTAATTTTCTTGTCGTGTATTCTCAAAGTCATTTTGTGCCAAAATAATCTTCAAATTGCAAAGTATATATATTTCTGTTTTTGAGTGGAATCTCCATCTCGTTACACACATATTTTGAATAAAGCAGTGGCAAAGGGCATTAAATCCTTATGTTACTTTGTTTGGCAATTTTATTTTTAGTTTTTTGTTTCTGTATATATCTGTATATTATGGTGGCTTTTATTAAGGTATTGCTTAAATGTTTTTTTCATTGTTCCTCACAGTTTTGTTACTCGTACCTTTAATACGTAATTCTTGTTATAATCAAATTTTCCTGTTTGTTATCTTCTATAATTTCTAGTGTTCTAGCATTTATTTTTTAAATAACAATTTAAATACTGTTATTTGCTTTTATCTATCGTTGCATTTGATTTTCTTTTATTATATCAATGTTAATATCTTTAAGCTTTTCCAAACCCTCCCATCCCATTCCTCGAGCACTTGTCGTGGCGTGGTAATACTCTAACTATTGTTAGGTTGCTGCCTTTATTGACTGCGATCCCGTGCCAAATAGACAGATTCATTAGGGAATTTGCCACCTGAGCCTTAATTTGGTCTTACCGTCTTGTTGGAGATCTTCTTTTTGGTCTTCGGCCTTCTTCCAGAAGTTCTTTCAGAATTGACAGGTTGGTTTTTTGTTCTCTTCAGGACACCCATAGAATCGTTCTGTAGACCCACATTTCGAAAGATTATTTCTTTCTTTGTTTTCGAGAGACCTTGTTTTAGACGCGTATGCAGCAATGGAAAAAGTACGGACATTCTGAGCTTGGCCACTGCCTTGGCCTAAACTAACCAGTCTTTCTTGTTATTGTTTGTCTTTTTCATATTTTAATCCATCTGTTGCTGTTTTTAAATTCGTTTTCGTTGGAGTATGTGCAGTAGATTATTATTATCGTTGACTACAATCATTTTTTTTTTTTTGGTGTTGATCTGAAATCTGAATTCTTCGCTTATTTGGCTTAGCCATTCAGTGATGGTGTTCATTTCGACTTCGTTTGCTGCTAGTATAAGTGTGTCATCTTCGTATTGCTGGTTACTGATTTTCTTGCCTCCTCTAGTGAATTCTCTATTCCATTAGGCTGGTACTTTTCTCATTATAGATTCAGAATATATGTTGTATAATAATGTTTATAATATTCAGTCCGCTATAGTTTCTTTTTTCCTTTTAAACAACTTTGAATAAATTCCGTGTCCTTAAACTTTAACTGGGTTTTTAACATTTAGATTTATTGTAAGGTTAACTAGGAGGTTAGGTTACCATATATCCCATTATATTCGAGCGGGAATTTTGAAAACTAGAATGGATTTTTTCATTGTAGACAAATTTACGTTTTATAGTATGTAATTTTATAGTTTATTGCTGTAAATAATACTATAAATATGTTCACTTTTCTTATACTTTTTGAATACAAAATAGGCATGATTTATACCAAGTAACTATTAATTGTTTTTTTTTTAGGAATCTTGACCAAGACTTGCTCCAACACTATTCTCCACTTAGACATTTCCAAACTCTACTTGGACAAATCCAACAACAACGTGAACTTCAAACAGGGTTTATGGAGCCAACAGCAATATTTACCTCAACAGTATCTATCTGGAGAATATCTTCTTGACGATCAAATGAACACTAACCAAATCTTGAACCAAATTTACAGACAACAACTTGGACAAAGTCCATTGAACCGTTATTTGGTAAACATGAGACTTGTAAACGGAGAGCAAGTATACGAAGTTCCCGAAGAATTCGTTAATGTTCAACTTCTTGAACAAATCTTCGTTAAACAAGAAATGATCAACCAACAATGGACTGAAATCGCCGAAAAAAGGCAACCAATGACTGAAGATGTTCTCTACCAGCAACAACTTATCAACGAACAGATCGAAAAGCTTATTGAACAATTAGTTTATCACCAAAATCTGATTACACGTGAAGTTGAACAATATATTGTTAAAGGACAAGTAGTTCCTCAAGAGCTTGTATACCAACAGAGATTAGTTTACCAACAAATTCATGAATTAGTCGAACGTTTGACCTACCAACAGCTCTTCATAAATCGCCTAGCCGAAAACATTACTGAAGTCGATACTATTGCCCTTCAAAGATGGATTGTACAGCAAAATATTATCAACGAACAAATCCAAAAATTAATCCAACAATTATTATTCCAACAAACTCACGTAAGAGAACAAATCCAAGTATTAATTCAACAAGGACAAGTTATCCCTCAAGAACTCGTCCTCTACCAAAGAATTACCTACCAATATGTCGAAAGATTTCTTCAAGTTTTGATTAAACAATTTGTTTATCAACAAACCTACTTTAAACAGTTGATCCAACTCTTGGCACAACAAAGACATACCATTCCCCAAGAATTGGTTGCGCAATACTTCATTATTTACAGGCATTTAGTTCAGCTGATTCAACACGGAGATATTGTACCTGAAGAATTGATCTACCAACAAAGACTTATCCACCAACAGATCGTACTCATGCTCCAACAATTGAAAGTTGTTCCCGAACAATTAATGACCCAGATGGTTCCTAACACACAACAAGAACGTTTGTGGCAAACTCAAAACCTTTACCAAAGACTACCACGCGTGTATTAAAGACTGGTTTATTTGTAATTTGTTTGTTAAAATGATTGTTATAATTGTTAAAAATAAATAAATATTTGTTTTTGCATATTAGATTTTTATTTTATTTTCTATTGATTTTTTTCTATTTGTTATAAAAATAATGTTAATTATTCATTGCACCATCGAAACCTTCACAATCTGGCAGTTGCATTAAATACGGATGGAACAGAATAACCAGAAATTCAAAAAAGAATAGTAAAGAGAAACAGAGAAACAAGAAATGGATTCGACCATTACTTGGAAATGCATTTTATATAACAATAAAACACTGAAAACTTTGTTTTCAAAACTTTCACAAAATTTATTATAAAATTTATCACTACGGTTGTTTCGGCCAATGCCTTTCTCAATGTGGTCTATATTTGGATGTGTTTACAATTTATAGTCTTTAACGAAATAGGTTGAGCAGGGGAGAACTGTTTGTCTCAAATTTGTCATTCAGAATTATGTCAGTGTTTTTTAATTTGTTAATTCCCATAGATTCTAATACAGATAGCTTAAGGTCTTTAGTTTGGATGTGAAGAATTTGAAATTCATCATTAAAAGAATGATTATGATCCAATACAAGGTAGAAAGGCACATTTTTGAGGTAAAGGCCTTGGTATTAAACCCACTTTGGAAAAAAAAACCGTCCAACAGATGAAACTTTACAAAAAATTATTGACTAAGAGAACAAATCAAAGAAATCGAAGAATTTTTTTACTTAGATGTAAAACAAGAAATTTAATACCAAACTTTTTAAATTTAAATATAGAAGACATTATTCTTAATTCTGCAAACCTTGCACGTAAATTTGGTAACGTTTTTACTCTATTCACGAAACAAACCTTGAATTTACTCATAGCAGATACCACTATCTCATTAAAAGCTTTAGACTCGGAACTAGAAAAACTAGAAACAAAATTAATCGAATCATTACCAGAATCAATACAATGAACGTATTTTTTGTAAAATTCGCGATAGAAATATCAAAAAAATTAATATGCTATCGTCAAAATCAGATAATAAAAATCACAATAATAAATTGCAGGATACTTGGTTAGAAAATTTAACAAATGTAGAGATTCCCAGTGTCGTACAAGATATTTTAAGTTTAGGAGATAATTTTGCAGTTCCCATCCGTAATAAAAATGATATTCCAACATCAGAAATTATTTGTTCAATTGAGAGTTCAATTTCTAACTTAAGTACCAATGTACAGGATGATATCAGAACTAAATGTTGTAACATTTTGACAAACTTTAAAAACAAAAACAAATACCCTTTTAAAAACAAAACAATACAAAAGAAAATAAAAAAGACAAAAGCTTTTTAAACGAGAACCCCAATTTAGTTGTTCTGAAACCTGACAAAACTAACAAGACTGTTATTATGGAGTCCGAAGACTATGACAGTAAAATGGATTCTCTATTAAATGACAATACAACATACCGTGAAATGACCCTACGAATATTTTCCAAAAAAGAAATAACGAATTAGTCGACAGATGGGAAAAAATGTGCTACATCTCACCAAACACTGCTAATTCCCTCAAGATACATAATGCTGTAATTCCAAAAATATACGGTCTACCCAAAACACATAAAGAGGGTGTGCCGCTGCGACCTATTGTTTCATGCATTCAGTCTCCTTTTGAAAACCTTTCAAAATATTTGAAGAACATTATTTCCAACGTAATAAATAAAAATCCACACTATTTAAAAGACGCTGATCACCTGAAATTAAAACTCAAAAATATACATTTACCTCCAAACTATAAATTAGTTTCTCTCGATGTGGTATCTTTATACACCAATATTCCAATAGCTTTAGCGAAAGACATAATTAAAAAAAAGTGGAACGAAATCAAAGCGTTCACAGACATCCCTCTAGAAGAATTTCTGCTAGCAGTCGAAACAACATTAAAGTCAACCTATTTCCAATATAAAAACAAAATCTTCCAACAAACAGATGGATGTGCTATGGGTGCTAGCATATCCAGTGCCATCGCTCAATTAGTTTTAGAGCATCTAGAGGAAATTGTTTTAAATAAAATAGATTTTGATATACCTTTTTTCTATCGCTATATAGATGACTGCTTGAGTGCAGCACCAGAGGATAAAATGGATAATTTACTAAATGAATTCAATAACTTTCACCAAAAACTAAAATTCACATTAGAAATTGAAAAAAATTATCAAATTAATTTTCTGGACCTGACCTTGCATAGAGAAAACAGCACTATAACTACTTCATGGTACACCAAAAAAACCTGGTCGTCGAGATATCTGAATTTCAACTCTCATCATCCCCTGTCTCAAAAGAAATCAGTAGTTATCGGACTCGCTGATAGAGCTATTAGATTATCCGATCCTATCAATAGACCTCAGGCCATTAAAAAAGCAAAAACAGCACTAACACTTAATTCATACCCACACCACCTTATCGACAACACTTTCAAATCGCGACTGCATAAATTTTACAATAACAATAATAACAATGAAACAACACGGTAAAGAAAAACTATATGTCTCTCCCCTATATAAAAGGATTATCAGAACAAATTGCAAATCTTCTGTCTAAACATAATATTACGGTTGCTCATAAAGGTCACAATCTTTTGAAAAGGAATTTTACAAGATTGAAAACAAAAACCCCTCTATTAAAAAGATCGCATGTTGTATATGAAATTCCCTGCTCGAATTGTGATGGAGTTTATATTGGACAAACCAGTCAGCTACTTAATTCAAGAATACGTTCCCACAAATATGACAAAAAAAACTCAACCGCCCTCACAAAACATGAAAACGAAAAAAAAAACATAAATTTGATTTTGAGCAAACCAAGATCCTAAAAAGTGAAACCAACAGGAAAAAGAGAGAGCTTCTAGAGTCTATACAAATAAAAAAAAATAATAACGCAATAAATGATAAAAAAGATGTCAAAAATTTGAACAAAATATATTTTAACTTAATTTAAAAACACATAAAAAGTCAATCTCAGAACGCCTATGATGTTAAAATAACTGATTGTTTAAACGATAAACTAACATCAATAAACAACACATTAGATTTAAAATACATTTTACTTGTAGTGACTTAGTGGTATGTCCTATGTTTTAATATTATTTTAATTGTGACGTCTAATTGTTAATACCGAATCTTTACATGCTTGGTAAGTCAAAAGTTTATTTTTTAAACCGTATTATGTCTGTCATAAAATGTTTTTTTTTAGTCAATATATATTCTTGAAAAAGGCATGGATTTCCTGCCGAAACGTCGGAAAAAAATATATAAAAATGTCTTAGTATCAAACTAAATTTTTTTTTATGAACCTAAGCCCAAGAGAATCCACTAAAAAATATATATTAAGGGTCAAGAACTAAACTCAAACTATATATAAATATATATATATATAATATATATATATATATAATATATATATATATATATATATATATAGGTATATATATTACAAGAATTACAAGAATTAATATTAAACTCAACAGTCTACAGGATATGATTTCATAACAGAAGAACTGTTAAAAAATCTACCAAGAAAAGTGATAGTTAAGCTGACACACCTTATAAATGCTGCTTTTAGATTGAGATATGTTCCCAGATTCTGGAAAGTAGCCAAAATCATTATGATCGCCAATCCAGGTAAACCTCCTCATGAAGTGATGTTCTATTGACCAATATTACTCCTTCCGGTAATGTCAAAACTATTCAAAAAACTTCTATTGAAAATATTAAAAGCGATAATAAAAAGAAAAAAATCTTATACCAATCATCAATTTGGCCACAAGCAAGTATGAGTATTTGGGAGCCAACTCTAGAGCTGTACGAAAGATAGTAAACTACATATTATCCAGAGATTTTAAAACAAAGTAATGAGGAATCATGTTGATGCTCCTTGGTATATCTGTAACAGCAAGCTCCACCAGGACCTGGGTATAGAAACTGTGACCAAAGTTATCAAGAGAACATCAACAAGCCACGAGCAGAGGCTGCATAGTCATGTGAATGTCGAGGCAATCCAGCTTCTTGACAACACTGAACTAAAGAGAAAACTCATAAGGACAAAACCATTTGAGTTAGTGTAAATATGTAATAGTTAAGTGTAATAAGCATAGTTTAATGTTGTGACGTTATTGCATGTTAGTTGTAGTGCATTAGTTGATAGATTATTAAGTATTGGTCAGATAATAACTGATAATTGGTCAATTTTGATAATACCAGATAATAACTAATAATTGATCAATTTTGACCAGATAGCAGTATACAAATACTGATGGTATAATCAGGCCGCAAGATGTTGTTGAGCTCAGGCTGGCAGTTATAATTTGTTGTTATGAACTCCCAAGCCATCTTTTTCTCCATTGCCCGAAGCACCGTTTGTCCTTTTGGTCTCTACCACACCGTTTTCTGTTACCAGATGGATTAGGAGAACTTTTTCCTTTGTTGAGTAATGTGCATATTTACTGCTATTTCCACTCATCTAAAATTTACATAACCAATTAATTTATTTAGCGTACGGCCTACACATATAATATAATTATAATGATTGTAACGCATTACGCACATATAAATATATCCAAAAACAAATATACATCTAAGCATATATTTTGAACATCTAAAATTATGTCTCAGACACAGTAACAAAATGAAAATTAATTCTGTAGAATAAATATTTTTTATAATATATTACATACCTTAAAATAATTAATATCCAATATTAATTTCAAACACAAAATATTAATATCAAACACAAAATTTCAGTATGTAGCATAAACTAAATTTGGCGCTAAAAGTTTAGTCACAATGATGAGAAAATTGACAGAATCTTCTTTTTTTTCGATGTTTATTCGTAATTTACTTTTACTGTACTAATTTTTTGTGCTTGAGATCAACCTTGTACGAGAATACCCGAAGTATCGTTTATAGAACACAACAAATACTTGAGCATGACTTTGACGTAAGTTTGACTTGGCGGAGTACGTGCTCAAGCACCAGCTTGAGTACCGACTATAAATACGGGCATAGGTCTCTTAAAAATGATTCAAA